TCAGGACAGCGATCTGAATAACCAAATTGAATCACTGTCCCCCGAATCGGCCAAATCTGAATCCAAAGCAAATAATAGCGGCTTTGCACAGGCCTAGTGGGCAGCTCATCCAGGGAGCAGAGGGGGTAGGGCTGGCTCCCCAGCACTGTGCACACTCCTGGGGAGGGCATGGGAGGCATATGCCCTCCATATCTGTGTGCAGGGTGGATGTGGGCTGCGCACTGTGGGCTCAGGCTCCCTGCCCTCCTCCTGGGGCTTCCACAGCCCAGCAGGTGAGACCTGGTGCAGTAGGGCAGAGCAGGACTTGGCAGGGAAGCTCTGAGCCACTACAAGCTCCACACCACTCTGGCAAAATGGTCCCTGCCCACCCAGCAGCAGTGGAGGCAGCAGCATAGAGTTGTGCCCCTCGCTGCTGCCAGGCAGGCAGGAGGCAACTTGATTCCCTGCCCGGCCCCACTCTGCCCTGCTTTGCTGGGTCCCACCCACTGAGCTGCAGAGGACCCAGGGGAAGGCAGAAATCTGGGGAGCCCCAAGCCTGCAGCAGACATCCAACACCCAAGCACACAATAGGCTTCACTCCAGCCATACTGCCCGTGGGGGAAGGGGAGCCGGGCTCTGTGCTCTGCTCCCCACTCAGGCCATAGCAGCTGCTGCTTCTTGAGGGCAGCAGCTGGGGCTTGGGCCCTGATTCAGGGGACAGGGAGCTGTGTACACAGGTCCCTGGCCCTGTAGCTGTGGCAGCTGGAGACTCCCCTTCCAGTAGGGCTGTGGTTGGGGAATAAAGAGCACCAGCAGGGGCCAGGGGGCTGTGGGTGGGGAGAGGAGCCTGGACCTGCATCCTAGTGAACAAAGAGGACAGGGAGAGCTCTGATTTTCCATGATAAAGAAAACACAAAATCAAATACCAACATTTAAAGGTATTTAGAATTTATTATAGTGATTGAGGCACTGGTAGGCTTCCAAATTACTTTAACATTGTAAATATATCAATAAAACATTGTGTTCAATGCCTCCAGGTCCTTGACCACCTGGGCAATAGTGATCATCGCTTGCTGGAATTCGCCATCCAGCGTAGGGTGTCAAGGGCCTGCAGCAAGGCGGTAGCCCTAGACTTCAGGAGGGCCAACTTCGTTGAGATGAGGAGATTAGTGGGAGAGGCACTGGGGTCCTTGAGGGCAGAGGAACTCAGTGTCCAGGATGAGTGGTCGTTCCTTAAGGAAACGATACTCACGGCCCAAGGGGTGTCCATCCCGACAAGAAGCAAGGGGGGCAGGAGTGTCCGGAAGCCCCCCTGGCTCACCAAGGGC